CATAAGTGCAAAGCGTTGCAAAAACTGGCATAAGTGCGAACTGGTATATGTGCGAATTGGCATAAGTGCGCTAAAACATTTTGCAAACATTGGCATAAGTGCGAACTGGCATAAGTGTGAATCAGTTACAAAAACTGGCACAAGTGTGAACTGGCATAAGTGCGAATTGGCATAAGTGCACCAAACAAATTTGCAAACATTGGCATAAGTGCGAATTGGCGTAAGTGTGAACTGGCATTAGTGTGAAGCAGTTACAAAAACTGGCATGAGTGCAAATTGGCATAAGTGTGATAAATAAATTTGCAAACATTGGCATAAGTGCGAACTGGCATAAGTGCGAAATACTAATTTGCACCTGTGCCAATTCGCACTTATGCCAATGTTTGCAAATTTGTTTGGTGCACTTATGCCAATTCCCACTTATGCCAGTTCGCATTTGTGCCAGTTTTTGCAACTGCTTTGCACTTATGCCAATTCAATGTTTGCAAAATGTTTTGGCACACATATGCCAGTTCGCACTTATGCCAGTTTTTGTAACGCTTCGCACTTATGCCAGTTCGCACATATGCCAATTCGTGCTTATGCAACCTCTCGAATATAATGTTTTGCAGACATTTAGCATTTTTATTGTGATACTATTACTAAGTGGATTACCATTTAGGATTTACAATCTTCTACTCATAACTCCAGTTTTATTAGGGAGTTTATATCAGAAAAAATGTGATGCTTTTTGCTCCCATTTCGATAAATGGAATTATTTATGCAAAGAAATTGCTGAACTTGTTGTCACTCCGATAGTCTCAATTTCAAGACTGAAAAGTCTTAAAATTGAGAATATCAGAGTGGCCACTCATGATATTGACATTACTATACTGCATGTTAAGGTTTTCAACCTCTTTATTACCAATCGGTCTTTTAATATAGATATTTTTTTTTGCTTAGAGCATATCTCACTACACTTCTGAATTTTCTTTTTGGATTCTTACTAAATGGCTCTATATTTAATTTATGTTTTTAGAATTGCCTCTCTCATGTCTACCTAACTGGATGGCTCTGTTGGTATGAAACTATTGTTTCATACCAACAAGAAATTTATAATTTACTTGCCATTTTATCACTCTTAGCGAAAATAATTGCCATACATATTCTTGGCATTCTGCTTAACAACTTATCCAATTTGTCTAAGTCAATTTTATGCCACTATTATAAGTTTTGTCCACATCTTATGCATCATTTTAGACATTAGTTTTTAGACATCATCTTATGCATTAGTTTTTGACATTACTTTTAATTCCACCTATAAAAATCCGATAGGAGACAGATCTTGTGATTGGAGTGACTAAATCATTTAAATTAATATTTGATTGTTTAATTTATATGTTTTTTTTTTAATTTATATTTGATCGTTTAATTTATATGAACTCAGTCATATAAATTAAACGAGTTTTTGAAAAATATGTTTTAAATAATGTTAAAAATATGATTTAAGCTTTAAGTCATTTTCTTTTGAAAAAATGAACAGCTTCTCATTAACCCATCTTTCCAAAGGTGTAGCATATTTTTTTAAGTGTACAAGTAAACTGCTTTTGTCATTACTCCCTCTATTTTCACAGTCACCTGTGTCATTTAAACCAAAACACCTTAACACTACATCCACCATGTTTTACAGTAAATAATACACGTTATTTTATCATAAATTCAATGATTTTTTTCCAGACAATTATATTTCGAAACCAAAGATTTAAAATTTCAACACGTCAGTCTGCTTACAGTCATTGATGGTCCATTTTTTATGTAGTTTTCACTTTAGCATTTTTATTATTCTTATGATTTTTATCTAGTAGTAAACATAAAAAAAGTCAATGCCATTCAAATAATTATGAATCGTATGTTTAAATATGATCAAAACATTTTCTTTCTATTAAAAGTTATTTCAACTTTTAATAGAAAGAAAGTTTTTATTACATACAAAAATAATTGCTTATTCTTTAACTTATAAAACATTTGAATATTTTTATGAGTTGTAAGAAATTCATTTAAAAAATTTAAAATATGCAATTTTAAACTAGAACAAAGGAAGGTTAAACTTTTTCACATCAAAATATACTTTTTTTGTTGTTGTCTTGTTTATTGAACAACACAGTAGCTTGATAGATGATGTTCTTCATCAAGCACTGATTGTTCATGAGACAAATGGATTTGTTAATACACTTGCACGTTTTTTGTTCAGTTGTAACTTTTGTGACCAACCAGAAAGTGCAGGATCTATCATGCCATAAAAACTATCTTAACTAGATTAACCAACTTTATCTATAACATTCTGTGTATTTTGCCATTGGTTAATGCAATTTTTTCTTTAAATGTCAAACAGTTGAGTTGTTTAATAGCCGAACAGTAGTTGTTTAATAACTGAACAGAAGAGTTTTTTAACAACTGAACAGTAAAGCTTTTTAATAACCACACAGTAAAGTTGTTTAATAGTCGAACAGTAGACGTGTTTAATAGGGAAAACAGTAGATGTGTTTAAAAACGGAACAGTATAGTTGTTTAATAGCCAAACAGTAGAGATGTTTAATAGTCAAACAGTAGACGTGTTTAATAGTCAAACAGTAGAGTTGTTTAATAGTCAAACAGTAGAGTTGTTTAATTGTTGATCAGTAAAGTTGTTTAATAGTTGACAAGTATAGTTGGTCAATAGCAGAAAAGTAGGGTTGTTTAAAAATTATTATTAATTAGTGTTAAAATAGTTGGAGGTAGCATTAAATTCAATTCTGTAGAAAACATGATTAATTAAAAGGTGTTTAATTTCAATATTTATTGGATCTTTAAGATTTTGATCAGCCTTTTTTTATATGTAGATTTAACGGTGTTCTTAAGGAGGTGGTTATACTCATCATTGGATAGTCTGTATATATTGGAAGTTTTTGATGTATATACACTCTACTGTGCTTATCTATAAATAGTTAGTCAATGCTGTCAAAAAAGTCATTCTGCTTCCCCAATCCCTAAATGTAAAATAAAAAAAAATAAAATAAAACAAATAAAGTTGAATAAGAAAGAATATAACATTCTGGATTATAGTCAATAATGTTGTGTTTGTGTGGTTTTTTAAAAAGCATTTGAATTTAATTAGTTTTTTAATTAATTGGTTTTTCTTTTAATTGGTGTTTCTCCATAGCTCAAATAAATTTTGAATGTTTATTGCTAATTTCTTATAGACTTGAAATTTAAAACACGTAACAGTCCAGTCAAAAGTTAGTGGTAGGTTTACAATAATTTGCATAGAGCTGAAAATTGGTATATTGTGAACATTACTGCAAATAAAGTATTAAAAGTCCCCACTGATCCCAATGTCCACTGATCCTACTGATCCCACATCTGAAAAAAAGTTATTCAAGGGCCAAGTTAAGAATTTTTTTTTTCAAGTGCATTTTATTATCTACCATATGTTCCTGCTGCCTTTTTCTGATCAACAATAAAATACTGCTTAGGCGATTTCATTTATTGTTCCAAAAAAATCTATATTTAGATAAAATTAAGTTTTTATATTACTGAAAAAATAAAAAAAAGAAACTTGATTATTAATTTAGTTTAGTTTTTCTTTATTTTTGTATTATTTTTTTCAAAGAAAATTTTTTATTTTTAACAACAATGTCCCCAAGGTCTGTATTAACTTTCAGCTTCGTGCGAATTATTGTAAATTGAAATATTTTGACCGGGCCATAATATATAAAGTTTTTTTTGAATGTCTTCATTTAACAAAGTCAAATTAAGTTTTATTTTTTATTTATATTTACTTTGGGGTAATTGTGTAGTTGCTGTTTTTTTTTTTTGAAGAAGTGAGAAGGATTACAAAGATTGTTTATGTTTTTATCTTTTTAAGCTTTTTACTTGATGCAAAGCGCCAATAGTTTTAGATCTACTTTTGCGGTGTTCATTTAATGTCTTAATCTTTTGTTGATAGGTGGTGTACCATATCCGGAGTTCTTTTGTTGATAGGTGATATACCATATCCAGAGTTCTTAACTGGCAAGAGTTAGGTATAGTTTTTCTTAATGACCCAAATGTAGAAAAATCATTACAATCCTAATTCTGTTTTTAACTCTTACATCTGCAAACTGGTTGACAAAGTTCACTTTTGTTACAGAGGCTGAAGTACAAGTACCAAAAAACCATTAAAGTCTATTAACTTCTTCACTTTTTTTGTTTTTTTAAAACTTCAACAATATTTGTTTAGCTAAAAAAAAAACAGTTGAGCTTCTACTTTAATAAGAAGAGCATTCATTGACTTTATAAAGTAAAGCTACACACTATGGTATGTATTTTAGGTACGCTTCCTTTCTATTTCTTTCCTCTTCTGCTTTGTCAACAAAGTAAAAAGGTTCGTACCAACCCCACAACTTGATTAGCGATGTTATTACAAAGACGAATTGTTAATAATTGATTCCCGTTAATAAATTATTGGTCCATGAGGGTCTTAAAAATTGTCAGAAACAAAGTTTTCAAACTTAAAAAGTTTAAATAAGTTTTATTTAAGGTAGAAGTTCAATTTTGAAAATCAATATAATGTGAATCACCCGAGTACGCGTGAATCTAAAAAATCAATATAATGTGAATCACACAAGTAAACGTGATTCTAAAAGTTCAATATAATGTGAATCACCCAAGTAAGCGTGAATCTAAAAAATCAATATAATGTGAATCACCCAAGTAAGCGTAAATCTAAATAATCAATATAATGTGAATCACCCAAGTAAGCGTGTATCTACAAAATCAATATAATGTGAATCACCTAAGTAAACGTGATTCTAAAAAGTTGGTATTTTTAAATTCTTACATTTTAAAAGCATTCGCATTTTCTTCCGTCAACATTTTGATTTTTTTTTTGATAAGCAATAAATTTTATAAATAAAAATGTTTTCAAAAAACATTAGATATCGGAGTTATTTAATGTTTCTTAATCTATTATTATTTAATAATCATTATTATTTTTATTTTAGATTGTTCATCGTGACCTTGCATGTAGGAATATTTTGGTTGGTTATGGTAGAGTTTGTAAAGTTGCTGATCTTGGATTAGCGAGACGATTGGATAAAAATGGGATTTGTAGAAGAGAAAAACAGGTAGAATTAAATACAGAGTTTATGATAGAAGTTTTGTTTAGGGAATTATTTTGTTAAAATTAATTTATGACCACTGTTTACATAGGTTCTTCTTCCATTAAAATGGTTATCACCTGAATCGATCAAACATGGATTGTTCTCAATTAAAAGTGATGTGTAGGTTTTACATAATTTTAAAATTTGGTATATAAAAGTTATTTAAGAAAACTATTATATATTAAAAATGTATAATGTATAAATTTATAAACGTTTACTAAACAGCATTTAAAAAAAAATGATTTGCTTGATTGATCTTTTTTTTCAGATGGTCATTTGGTATTTTACTTTGGGAAGTGATCACTATAGGTGAGAGACTATAAATCCGCAGCGTTATAGTTTTAGATCTACTTTTACTGTGTTCATTCAATGTCTGAATCTTTTGTTGATAGGTGGTATACCATATCCTGAGTTCCGTTCCGAAGATATACCTAAACTACTTTTAGAAAATAAATATCGAATGCCTAAGCCAGAACATTGTAGACAAGAAGTGTAAGTTATTATAAGTATATGGTTTTTACTTTTGATATTTTTTTTCTTTGTTTTTTATTTTTATTTTTTTGTTAGTTATGATATTATGCTATCGTGTTGGCAGGAAGATGAAAACTGTCGACCAACATTCTTCCAACTTGCAGAATCACTTAATACAATGAAAGATGATAAAGTAAAAGATTTTAGTTATGGGTCATTTTAATTTGAGTTGGAGTAAACTTCGAATTTTTATATGTTTATGCATGAAAAACACGTCTGAAAGCTACCATTAATAGCTTGAGACGCATGTAAATGCGTTAAAATTTATTTTTCTTAAGTTACAATTATTTTTAGATTTACGTGAACTTAGATCAATATGACGAGAATGCTTACGCTTCGTTTGGTGAAGATGATAATACAACAATGATGGCCGATTTCATGTTTAATGACCAAAACTGCGTTGTCGAAAATTCAACAAAATTTTCTGAAATTTAATTTTAAACTTAAAATCGGAAACTCTTTAGTTTTTCAGTTAAAAGATTTTCTTCGAATATGAAACTTGGAATTGATAGATTTTTACTTTTTACAAGTTTATTTTTCAAGTTGTTATGTATTCATAGATGTATTGAACTTGTTACGTCAGGATTATTTATATTATTAAGATAAAATGTTTGTTTTTTTGTATATGCTGGCTTCATATTTTGTCGTTCTATAAAAACTACTTTGTTATATAGAGTTAAAAAAAAGTTGAAACATATTAAACCTATTAATTAAACAGTTTTGCATATTTTTTTCAGAAATTTTTTAACATCTCTGGTAACGCTATTTATTTAATTAACGCAAGTACACAATTAGGTGCAAGTACTTGTTTAGTTAAGTAATTATCACAAAATTGATATTGAAGAATTTATATTTAGTTAACAAGGTTTTTTTCATGTTTTTTTTTAATTGTATTTAAACATATTTAATGACATTTTGTATTAAGAACTTTAATTTTTTCTTAATTGTTATTATTGTCAACTGGTTTATGTTGATAAAAAAGTTACAGTTCTCAGCCCCTTTATAACAAGATAACATAACTTGTTATAATAAAATTTTAATAACAATTTTTTTTTATCACTTTATAATTGAATCAGCGAACACAGTTGTCCAAAATATATAAATATTGAAATCTAGTTACAACGTCCAAGCGAAAAAAATCCCTTTGAATTTTTTACCATTTTTGCACATGCTCATGAGATGACAGCATTCACAAAATTGTGCATTTTTACAGCATACAAAATTAGTTAAACAGAAAACAACGGGTACTGATGATAGATATTTACTTTTTCAAACTATATTTCGTAAATTATAAGTTTATAAAAATATATTAACATAGAACCAGCAATATTTATTCTTTTTGTTATGTTTAGCATCATCTTGTTATAATGATTGTGCCTACCATCTTAATGATCATTAAAACTGAAAAACCCTATTTTGACATCCACAAACGTTTGTTTTTGTTTTGTTTTACTAAAAAAAACGGAAAAAATCATTCTAGGTCTTCAAAAGTTGAAAAAATCATTCTTTGACTTTATAAGTGGAAAACAACGTATTATTGCCTCAAAAGATCAAAGGTAAGATTTATTTGAGTTATTTTTTCTTGCATTCTGAATTGAAAAAAATTTGCACAAATTTTGAATATATGAACAATAAACTGAATAATATATCACTTCAAGATAATCATTGAATGATCTGAAATCAATTCTACTCAAAGTAAATACCAAAAATAATCATTAGAAATCTGTGTAATTAATATTTGATATTGTTTTAAAGCTTTTCCCACATTCTCTGCACTTTTATGTAAAACAAACTTTATTTTATTGTGTATTTGCTACTTTTCAGTAAACAATACTCCTTTTAAAATTTCTTTCTGATATTTCAGTGAACGTTAACCTAACCTAATCATTAACCTAAGATCATGATGCAAATCGAAAAACTGTTTGCTTGCTGTGCTTTCAAAAAGCAACACGTCAAATTACAACCTTTCAAGAAGAAAGAATTCGTCAGATTTACCAACATCAGATAAACTACTAAGACCCACGTGTTCCCCAAGGATTGTGTGAAGCTTGCCGTTCACTCTTGAGACGAAAAGATGAAGAAAAAGATATCAGCCTTCCTGACCTGTTTGATTTCTTGACAATCTACATAAAACCAGAACAGCTGGTCAAGAATGCTTATGCCTAATTTGTCACATAGGAGGTTTGAGGCACAATCAAAAAAGTCCTATGGTCAACCATAAAGCGCAAGCAAGAGTTCCTCTGCGTTGTACAACATGCCTTAGTCCTTTTGGAAAAGGACTTCCACACAACTGCAATAAGTTCACATTCCGCGAAAACTTGAAAAAGTTGGCCAGTGCTGATCTCAGCGTTTCTGAACAGATTGCTTTGAATGTAATTGCTTCCAAAGATGCCTCTCCAAAAAGAACCATTAGGCTAGCTCAACCAGGTGGGGATCGCCCTTACCTTATCACCCAAGATAATAAAACCTAAAGAGAAATATTTAAATTATCATTGCTTTTTTTTCAACCAATTAAATATTTATTCTTTATTAACAGGCCCAAGTCAAGTAAATTCAGTTGCTTTGTCTGGTAAGACAAGTCTTACAACAAATGATCTTGTAAAAGTTCAACTCAATACTGGCTTTTCGAATCATGGAGTAAAGAAACTAGCAATGACGTTGAACCAGACATCTGCTCAGAAGATAGTCGAGCCGAATTTCCATGCAAAGTTCCAAGAAGCTGGGCAGATGCTATCTGAATTTTTCACTCACTCGGTTCTTGTAGATGCTAAAGAACCAAGACAAGGTTTGTCTGGCATATCAAGGACTGTCGTACACTGCAAAAACCTCGCCGATCTTTTGAATGAAGTACTCAAACATCGAGATATAGATAACAACCTTGTTAAACTTGGCATGATGGTGGGGGAGGATTTCTGAAATTCTCCCTCAGTGTTGTGAGCAAAAGCCAAGGCAAAAATGCAAGCTCCCCACCACAGAAAAAATTCCTCACGCAACAACTAGCCAAGGACAGCAGTTCCAAGAGGCAGCTTCTGGTTGTAATTGCAGAAGGTATGCCTGAAACCTATGAAAATGTGAGGGCCATTTGGTCTCTCATTCGAGCTGAAATTCCATCATATCACATTTCATGTGATATGAAGCTAGCCAACATTTTGGTTGGTCTCCAGTCGCATGCAAGTACCCATCCACGTACATGGTGTGATGCGAAATCCACCAATCTGAGTTGCTCAGGGAGACTGAGGACTACCGGCTCATTGAAGAAGAGTTTCGAAAATTTGAAAAAACCGGGAAAGGTCACCACAAAAGCGAAACTGTTGGCGATTTCATTCATGAGCCGGTCTTCAGCAAAAAAAATGAGATCCTCATCATCGACATTATTCCACCAATGGAGTTGCACCTTTAGTTGGGAGTGGTAAACTTGGTCTTCAAAAAATGTGTGGCCAGATGTTGAAAAATAGCCTTCTTCTCTGCATATCCAAATTGAGCCTTATCACGGCGGACAGTTTGTCGGAAATGACTGTCAAAAACTTCTGAAAAACATTGACAAGCTTCAGCAGCTTGCAGAGGTTGGCTCAGCTTTCCAAGTTTTTCCCTTCATTGCTGTGCTTCGAAGATTCAATGCTGTTGTCCAAGCATGCTTTGGCATGAATCTGGACGTCTGATACAAAGAAAAAATCAAGAGTTTCCAAGAGGCATTCCTGGCATTACCTCAAACAAGCGTCACTCCAAAAGTGCACTGTGTATTTTATCACATCCAAGATTTTATTGAGCGGCACAAAGCACCTTTGGGTGCATTCAGTGAACAGAGTGTGGAGTCACTTCATCATGATTTCTCTCTTTACTGGAATCGATTTAAGAGGCCATCAAATCATCCAGAGTATGCTAGCCGACTCAAAAACTGCATTATGAGTTACAATAGCAAACGTTTATGAGTTCAGAGTCAGATGTTTTTCTTTCGTCAAAATTTTAAATCCAGCACAGCATACAGTATTTTTCATGGAATTTAAACATATTTGTGCTAATTAAAATTAAGAACATGGCATAAGGATGAGTTTTTCATTTTGTTGTTGTTTTTGCCCATAAATTATGAATAAAGAGATAACAAGAAATGATGTGGATAATTAAATAATTCTATGTTTGGGTTGAACTATTTCTAAAACATAAAATGTATTCTTTTGAGGTCTATCTGTGTCAAACAAAATTAAAATAATACATAGATTTTTTAAATTGATAATTTAATTATTGTATACTGTAAAAATGCACAGTTGTGTGAATGCTGTTATCTCATGAGCATGTGCAAAAAGGGTAAAAAATTCAAAGGGATTTTTTTCGCTCGGACGTTGTAACTAGATTTCAATATTAATATATTTTGAATCTGTGGACCATGTATATTCACCCAGGACAGGTGGCATTCTCGGTCAAGCCGAAGTAATTATTTCCTATTTTGGACAACTTTGTGAATGTTGAAAGGGTGGAAGTCCAATAATGTAAACTTTTTGGAAACTAAAAAAAACTTCATTTTCCCCCGTAGTAAATTTTTGTTCATGGTTCAAAAATTTTTTTTAGAAGGTGAAAAACATCCTCTTCAAAATAAAATTAAACCATTAATAAAAATTTACCATGAGGGAAAATGCAATTTTTTTTTAGTTTTCCGAAAATTTACACAGTTGGACTTCCGCACTTTCAACATTCACCGGTTCAATTATAGTACACAACCCCCTCCTTCCCTCCTCCCAGCTAGCAAAGTGGAAATCGGATTTTACGTACTTTTCTAAAAGATTTTTCCAATTTTAATACTTTCTCCGTTTGTAATAGGGGAAAGCGGGGCTACATGGCGAATGGGGCGAGATGGGTTTTCGTATAACAACTCAACAAAAAATCTTAAAATTGGGTGAAAACGAAATTGTATTTGCATTTTGTATTTTAAAATACCAATTGGTTTTTTGAAATATTATTAACGCAATTTTATACGCATGAGTTTACTTTTTGCGCCGAAAAAAAAATTATTCACTTTCGGTTTTTCATAACGGATGGAGTCATTCAAGTTTAAATTCTTTAGAAGAAGTTTTTGGTGATTTGTGTTTATTTTTTGTTACTTTAGTTAGATTTATTTGTAGTTTTTAAAATTTTATTAAATAGGAGGTAAAAATTGAATAATAAGTCATCTTGCCCCGGTCACGTGACAAATTTATGAACTTTTTATTTTAATATTTATTTCAAATTGTTATATTTGCAAACGGAAAATTCATGCAGGCAATAAATCATTTTAGTAGCATAATTATACTCAAAAAGTATTATTGCTTCACGACTGACAGTTTTGCAATAACTCGGGGCTTTCAAAACGTTCGCCATGTTGCCCCGCTTTCCCCTACTGTTCCGATTTGCATTCGGGATTTTTTAAATTTCGGGGCGGGTTTTTCAGAGGTAAAAAAAGCCGGGTTTTCATTTTTCCTACATATTACATAACATAACTTTCAAATATTATTTTTTTCTTGGACCATGTTACCAGTTTGTCAGTTTTTTATTTTTAATAAATTTTACTGAATTAAATTGACTTATATAAGTGAAATAAAATTCTAACTACCTCTGTAGTAAAGGTAAAAATTCAAATCAATTGGGTTTCATTAAA